CCTCTCTCTCTCTCTCTCTCTTTCTTCCTGCAGACGAATAAAAGGAGAAAGAGATTGGGAAGGAAGATAAGGGTGCTGAACGAGCGATTTTAAAATGTGTTTGAGGGGGAACTATGAGGTTTGTTGGCGAGAAACAGATTGCAGGGCAAGGAAAACGTCTCGTTTTCGGTTTAATTTGACGTTTAAAAGAGGATGAAACGAGGTTAGGGTTTTTACGAGTATTTGATTTGGAAGTTGCTAAGCTTTTGAATATTTCCGTTAAAGTCATTTGCAAGCTGCGTAAGCTTCATTTAATCCTTCACGTCCTGAACGTACTTTAGAGTACTATTGGATATTTATTGATATATAATATATATATATAATATTAATTATATGTAATATTGATGGAATACCTGTGAAAGCTTATTTACGCTATTTCATATTAAAAAGGCAATTTTCAAATGGAATTTATGCCATGGAATTCATTCCATTCATATGGATTATTATTGAGCAACTAAGTGATTGCGGATTTTGTCATTAGGTGGTATTGACACTTGGTTGTCAACCCAATACTTTTATCAAAATGTTGTTACGAATATGCATATATTACTCTAATTACTCAATAATTTCTGTGGAATTCTAATGTATGTGCGTTTATATTTGAATGAATATATTCATGGTCAATGGATACAGTTACACTCAATATATATGCGTTGTTCAAACTACACATATGATTAGAATATATAACATGTAATTTATGACATAAAGGAGTGGGAAGAGTTCATGGACAAACATAATACAAAATTCGTTCTTCGGTTATACACATTTTGTACGTGTGTTTTACAATATCCAAGCGATATCAAGTGGAATATGAAAGGAGAATTAAAAAGCAGGAAATATGAAAAAGAATTTTCATAATAATTCCTATAAAGCATAGACGATATGGAAATAAATACCGTTTGAAAATTGCCTTTTTAATATGACATAGCGTAAATAAACTTTCACGAGTATTCCATCGGATATTGCATATAATTAATATTATATGTATATATTATATATCGATAAATAGGTTGTCAATATTAATAATATCAGACGGTACTTTAGTTTGCAGTCGATAAAATTTACCTGTACAGCCTCAAGCAATTTCTTTTCATCGCATTTCCACGCTATAATAATATTTAGAAACATTATATAATATCATTAAACGCGTGTAATCTATTTAAAATACTTGTAGAGTTAGAAACTTTAAAAAAGCGCTGTTAACACATTGTTGACTGACAATTTTACTGAGAATTTATCTCATGTCACCGGCTATTATTTGGTAATTGGATGTGCAAGTAAAACAGTATAAATAAACTTTAATAAATTCTATTTGTTATTCGACTTCTAATATTTCTTTCTCCTGTGATAAACAGTGTAACAATCACCTACGTGTAATGGTACACAACAACTTTTGCAAACATATTCAGTTTCTGCGTTTTCCTTTTGAACAGCATAGTCTACACGCTCTAGTTGGATTTATTTTTCTACCAGTGACTATTTTTTAGTGAAGGAGTCAGTGAAGGATGCATCATTATAATAAGGAGCTGTTTTAGAAATTTGAGAAGTGTCAGCTGCAATGCTGCATTCTTTAGAATCCACAGTTGTCCATTCTCTAGCTACTTCCAGTAGAAATTTGTTGTATCTTTTATTTCCTGGCAGATAGGTACAGTGTATTTTATATGCATCGAACAAGGTGCAGTTTAGGAAATCCTAAACTAAAGGAAGCCAATATATACGCCACCCGTGGAGAGATCTGCCCGCCTCTGTAGCACACAGTTGCCAAAAAAGCGCCATTCTTCCAAACACAAAAACGAAAAAACCTTCTTTCTTACCAAATAAATTTCCTTTTCTCAGTCCGTTTTAATCGGTCGGGCTCTAAATCGTCTAAAAAATGTGCATTCGATTAAACGTCTCATTTCGATTACGTGTCATGCAAACTCGAGAAATTTGTCTTGCAAGCAACTCACCAGTCAGCAATTGCGAGATTCTACGGTGGCTCGGGGTTGGCTGTTCCCACAAGAGGCGATGAAGTGGCGTTGCTCGCGACAAACAATGTACTCTGTGAGCCGCGTCGTTTAATAAAAATCGCTCGAACGGCACGGATTCCTCGACGACACAAAGACACTCGACGAGAAGTCGTGGAGAACCGGTTACACCAATGTAACCGAGAAACTGTGCGATCAGCAGCTACGCCAATTCCCTTCCGTCGCGTTTCTCCACCAAACGACCTGTTAACGCACGAGCAATGGTATCAAAAAACAAAACAGCAGAAGAAAACAAAGGAATATGAGAATAATGGAATTTTATCGAGCGAATGAAGAATGTTTGGGAATAGAACAATAGAAGCGTGAACACTTGTTTTAAAGAAAAAATATGTACAATAGAACTCTGTTTACAGTGAGAATCGAAAACAAGTACATAACACTTCGAATATGCATACAGAAACAATAACAGCAATACAAATAATGAAATTAAAGGAAATTTTCGAATAATGGAACTACTTCCTGGTGTTCATCTTCTTGTAATTCAAAAGGGAACATAAATATTAATAACAGCAATACAAATAATGAAATTAAATATGTGTGAATTCAAGATTTATGGATTCTAAATTTTCTTACCTACTAAATCACGTTTTAGTAGATTTAATCCCATAAAATTACATTCCTTTTGGACCTCCTACCATCTTTATTTTTTTAAGCTATTAAGTGCTTTGAAATATTCAGGCATATCATCATTGCTATTATTTATATTCATGTTTCAATTCATTATTCGAAGCATACGTGACATTAACATCATGTGAAGAAGACGTCCACTGAAGAAGAAGATTCATCACATTAAAAGCGTTCTATCGCGTCGACATTATCAAGATCATCGAATTCTGGTATTGTATGGAAAAGCAGTTTCTTCTAAATCTGTCGTAATATAATAAATATGGTGTCCTCGATCTTCCTAGTATCACATTTAACACATATAACAGCAGTACAACAGCTAATCCTTTTAATTGTTCGTGAAGCTGTATCGTCTTTTCGCTGGTAGCTTCGTTGATTGTTAACAAACATTCTTGCAGAGGATTAAGCTTTTTCCACGTGAAAAATGTCCGCATAGTGGAACGTTATCCGTAGAGTAGGTCCTACTCTGCATATGTATGCTACATAAATTAAAAATTAATTGAAAAGACATAAAATAGGAATATAAAAAATGTTTGTGAAGTGTATACTCACTCGTTGACTCTCACTGTATGCGAACTTATCAAAGAATTCACGTAATTAGAATTGATACAATAGGAATGCTGCTCTACCTTCTCCACTACTTACAATTCACGTAATAGAAGTATAGGTTCAGATAATTAGATTCACTGGTCAGAGGTTTGTCAACTCAAGTGAATATCAAAAATCATACGTAATGTTAATAGACTGTTGAAGAAACACGAGTAACGAAGATCCGCAAGTTCTAGTAGAAGTGAACCCATGACTGTGTTATTAGGAAACGTTACAGTTTCAACAGCATATATTTCCATTAATGAAATCTTGTTTAAATAAATTGATCAAGCTTGCTGAAATAAAAAGTAAAAATACAGTATACATATAGTTTGCACCATTTGATTTATTATTGAGTTGGCAACTAAGGTCAGAACCACCTAACGACAAAATCCGCAATCACTTAGTTGCCAAGCCAATACTTTACGGGTAAAGTACCTTCGTTTAATATTTCTTTCTTCCATTTAACTTTGCAATTACCTTCCATTTAAATTTGCAAACTCAAGAATCAAATGAAAGTTTGGAAGATTTTCGTGTAAGTGGCTGATTCAGAAACGAATCGTCCGAGTGAATAGGAAATTCGGCTAATTCTCGAAGCCGCGACAACGTGAATGGGAAAGAAAACAGAATAGCAAGATGGCTGACCTATTTGGCGGCCGAGTAGAATAGCCAAAGGGGAGTGGAGAGACGCGAGTAGAATGGCGAGAAAAAGGGCAAACCTTGTGTACCGAATACGCGGCTGCCTTTTGTTGTCTGGGTCTGGCCACCGGCGTAATTAAAATTCTACAGGCTCCACCCGGAAGTTTGGACTATCTCCAAAATCCTGGAACCACTGGATTTCTTGTGTCTCCTACGTGACAACTGCAACGTCTATGCTATACCTTCGTAGAGATTAATACTATTAAAGTAAAAAAAACATTTATATACCATCTGCATTTATTATAACACTTACATGCTAATTAAATAGAGCGAAATATATCTCGCACGATTCAGTGTAATAGTTTCATACGACTGCATTAATTTACCGCTATGAAAGTCTCTGATAAAGGGACGTTTCGCTGCAAGATAAGGCTACGCATCGATAATTTCTGCAGCCACTGTATCTGAATATATTGACGTTTTTATTACGAAACGTACGTCGAAAATAGTCCGAATATGAGTGCACTGATTTTATTGTACTGTAAAATTGGAAGCTCTTGTTGAGAATTATGGTTCTTAATCGCCGAAATAAATGTATGGCAATACTTACATTACACTTAGAATTGATATCAAAATAGTTTCAGATTTATTTAATATGTGATTTACAAAATATTCGTATGTAAACATTGCACGCGTCTCAGCACTCTCTTTGTCCCGCCATCTTTTCATCACCATGCGTACGCAACAGTTGCATTCTTCTGCTTTACCATACGCTGCGCACGCACATACTTCACACACTCATACTTATATATGTGTGTAACTACACGCGGCTAATCCAGTGTAGCACACAAAATTACACATATCTCAATAGTTCTATTCCAGATAATTTATCGAATTGGCGAAAAATTGGGTCTTCATCGTGTTAAGAAACAATTTTAAATGGCTCATTTGTCACAAAGTTTACAGATACAGCGATTTTATAGGCAATTAAGTAACATTAGGTGGTAATGACACAATCCGCGATCACTTGCCAACCCAATATAAGAATAGTGTCCTGTATTGAAAAGATAGTTGGTTCTTATAGACTGAATCTATCGTTGAAAATCGATTTTCATCTTTTGTCCGTTTCCTGTGTGCAGGTGTCTGAAAAACTTATCCTGATATCGATTTACTCTAACGCTTACAGTCACTGTAAACTAGTTGCGTTACATGCAAGGACTAATTCGCCTGGGATCAGCTAGAAAGTTGTAGGTGTCGCAACACCACGTTTCCTTTAAACGAACAGAAGAGAACCGCTTACGAAACCTATTTCAATATTTAGTCGAGCCAGCCAATTTCTAGGAATCCTCTCTCTCGAGATATCTCAAGTAAAACACTTAACCAATTGCAGGCAAACCTACGCTATAAATTTTCTTTTTCCTCTTAAAATCGTATTGTCCGAAAGCGTTTGCCAATTTCTGTTATATGGACGTGACAATCATAACCTTTTACAAATTTTTATATCTAGGGACGATTAAGTTATGAAACTTGCAGGAAAGAATTGCGAATAATAGTAATATAAAAAAATATACAACGCAAGTGAAAAAATTGGTGTTTGCAGAGAAAAAGTTGCTCTATGTTTATACGTAAGTGAGAAATGTCGAATAAAGATTTTTCTTTTATAGCCTCATTTTTAGAACAATTCAATTTAATGTGTTTCGTATATTTCTTATCTGTTATTTTTCTTATCGCAACTTTGTATGTGTATTTTAGGCATTTAAATGATCTCACATCCTGTCAATTCTGTTGCTACGAACTGCAACAGTCTGCTCGCTACAAACAGCTTTATCGCAGTATTTTCAGAAGTGTTTAGTCATCTTACATCGTTTTGATGGATAAAATAAAAATTGGCATATTGCAATATATTGTACAAACGAGTTATGAATACGCCAGTCATTTAATAATAAATAATAAAACAATAAGTAACAAGAAGAAAAAAGCACACATAATATAAAATTATTGAATTGACAACTAAGTGATTGCGGGTTTTGTCAATACCATCTAATGACAAAATCTGCAATCACTTAGTTGCCAACCCAATCCTTACTTATTACTTGTCTTTGACTTTACTTTCATATCATTTACTATATTTTATTATCACGTAACCTGTAAATTAGTCACACAGACTGTGCAACACGATAGCTTGTCAAACAACGAACGCAGTGCGTATTTCTCGAACGTAAATAAGAAGCCACTGAGCGCGGTAGCCATTTTGTTCGCAATTTCAGACGAAAGGTTGTCGTCTCACAGACGATAGTTAAACAGAACATTGTTTTAGAAGCGAAAATAAGTGGAAAATATAAACTAAGGTATTTTCTTTTAAAACTTCATTTCAGAGAGAATTAGGTTTAAAAATATGTCGACTATACGTGTACTTGACTAGCTTATAGTCGAATAAAGGCCGATACTGTGGTAATAAGGCGAGATAAGTAAAAAATGTAGAATAATATTTTTTCATCGTACGCCTCGTTTTTCCTAAAATAATGTCTGAAATTGGAGTCGTTGACGCTCCATCCACGAGCTCGACGAACACGTTCAGCCGGCAGTTAGGTGAGTGCAGAGTGCACGTGTACTCGATAAATTTCCAAACTCGATTTTCTCCAGAATAAAGCCTCATAAACGAACAAATTTTACTCTTTCTTTTCTCCACTCATCTTTCATCACTCATCCTCATACATTGTACGTAATGTAGAAAGTAGACAGTAATTTATCTCAACTTCTCGCGGAACGAACAGTTCACGTAATAAGAGTTCGCTGATTCTTTCTATTATAGGTTAACCTAAAAGTTTCTTTCGTTTTAGAAGAAAATAATAGATGCACAACGTTTTTTGTTTTGATGCGAATGAAACAGTTAAAGGACGATCGAAGATAAAGACCACAACATTTGACAGATTAGGTTTCATGTTTGTATCAACATAGCCAGATAAAGCAGTTGCCTACAGATAACGAAAGACATTTTTGGGAGCTAATAGTTAGCTATGATTTTATGCAGTAAGAATTTACGTTCAGATGAATAGATTCGTCAGCAATTTTTTCATCATGTGTTTAATCAATTAATAAAATTAATAAATTTACAAGTTAAAAGTTCATCGTAGTTGACCTTCGAGTTATCAATCGTGTTATATATTGCTTTGTAAGCCGATGTTTCATAAACTACGATGAAATATTCACGCAACCATCATGGCGCAGATTCAAACAAGTTACGAGTCATAGACCTCTTAGAATTTGATAATTTTTCAACAAACTATTGTGTTGGCAACTAAGTGATTGCGGATTTTGCCATTATTTTGCCATTATGTGGCAATGGCAAAATCCGCAATCGTTTAGTTGCCAACCCAATATAATTCAAATTGTACTAATAATAGTTCAAGATTTTGTTCCATTGCATTCCATCGTTCAAGAGGGTTCCTTGAGTTCACTTAATCAATAAATAAACAATAAACAATAAATAAAATTCTAGAAGATAGACGATCTAAATTAAAAGTAAAAATAAGTTTCCCGTAATAACCAGTTATATATATTTATTATCTACTTTTTGACATATTCACGCATATGTTTATTCATTTACGAACCTTTCTGCAGAGTGTAGCTTTCCATCGTACGAGAGATAGGTAAGAAATAAAATTTCTACCCTCTTGCAGTTGCCAACCCTTTCCTTCACGGCAACGTCGAACTGTACGACATGCGTCAACTTCTATGACGTTTCGAGCAAACATTCGCGATATGTACATCACGCAACGGAAGGATATACATACGATACACGAAACGCGAAACGTCTGGGAAACGCGGGGAAATTTATTCGCCGCCTCCAGGGAACTATGCACCGAAAATTGTACGGACTATTTGCTGCGATTCATATCCCACGGCATGGAGAATTCGCCAAGTGAATTATAAAGGCGAGCCACGAATTGCGAAGAAACAGCCAGCGAATTTAATTGAACGTTGACGATGTATTATTCCGTGGTCGTTGCATAGAAATTTTCCTCCCCTAACTTCTAGTTTCAATTAAATTGAATGCTAACCCGCTGGTCATTCGTTGATTACTCTAGCGACGAATTAATTGTTTCACCTGTACCTATTTCCTCAACTCGTTTTTTCTCCTCTAGTTTTGCTGAAATAGACGAAAACATAGTGGTTCATTAGTCGAAATGATTGCAAACAGATTCTCTGAAACGAATTGGCCAGCTTCACTTTTTTCAACTTTTCAGTTTCTCATAGTGGCAGCAAAAGTATTAACACATTGTTGTATTTGAGGTGATATTGGGTGTAGTGCGTTAAATAATCACTCGGTGTTTAGGTCAACAATATATTTATTAACAAGTGTCTTCTTTTGATCGCGTCGCGTATCGCTCTCGGTTTCGCCGGTCAATCTCGCTGCGCGGTTACACTTTGGCCCTATCGCTTCCTCGTTCGAGCTAAAACTGTCGATCGGATTCGATTCTTTTCTTTTTGTCGCCCCTCAATATCCCCACTATTCACGCGTTTGTTGCGCGTCCGCGACCATTAGCACGCGCGCCTTCTCGAATATTCGGCGGAAGACCGTTGGGATTTGATGGCTCATTAGGCATTTTGCTTCGGCGATATACATTGTTGCCGAGTGCCGCCACATATTTATTGTAGCATTTTGCATACTAATTGATTAGATCGTAAGAGATTAAATTTACCTCGAGGTTTGCTATTATTTATGCCACCTTCTTGCGACAAATGAAAATTTGTTTTTATTAACTGGTTGTATCATTAACGTTCGACGCCCCCTTCCCCAAAAGAAGAAAAGAAGAAGGAAAGAAAAGGACAAACGACCAATTTTCATTTGTCGCAAGAAAGTGCCATAAATAATAGCAAACCTCAAGGTAAATACAATCTCTTACGATCTAAGCGTATGTAAATGCTATAATAAATACAACAGTGTGTTAATACTTTTGCTCCCACTATACTTTTATCTACAATATACAATATATATATTATGAAGTACATAGCTATATACAAGTCAACGGAATCTTTGAAGAAGTGCGACGTATCTCTTTCGAAGTTTAACAAAATTTAACACCAACGAAAACTCTCTGTTATCACATAACCTACAACGCAAAGATCTGTCTTCCATAGAAAATTCTATTGGGCAACTAAGTGATTGCGGATTTTGTCATTAGGTGGTAATGACAAAACCCGCAATCACTTAGTTGCCAACCCAATATATTTGTTCGCTGAAAACAGAACCGAACTCTGGATCGAAAGGAAGAGAAACGATTCGTGGAGCACTCAAAGTTAGCGGCTGCGGTAATCTTCGTACATTTAATTGGACGTTGGTGAGAGCGGTTGGTGGAGATAGGTTCTTGTGGCAAAGTGCTGAGTTCGCGAGCTAAGACTCGTGTTCCGCTCGCGAGACCGTCGCCAGCCATTTTGCGCCGTTGAAACTTGTATCCGGGCCGTGC